GAAGGATGGAGGATTCTTGAAATTGTGATCTCATTTGTTACTGAAACCATAATGCCTAAAACAAATACATAATAAGTGTCAACTAAATAGTTGCTGAAGGAAGAAAGAAGGAAGCAGTGACAAGTAGCACTTCAGTTATCCAGAACCTGGGCAGCCTGTACCACAGTGAATTTGCAAGTCCAAAGTCAGTGAAAGAGAGTTCCCACATTCATACGCCATGTCTACGGAGACTCTGCAGAAGGCACCTTGTGCAAAAGAACCACTGAATTAGATCAGAAAGAGGTAGGCCATTTTTAATTGGATAAGCCTCCAGAGGTGCCACTTGTTTTTTGAAACCTCTACCTCATGCCTGCTGACATTGAGAACCTAAACCAGTGTTCTTTGCCTTTGACTTTAATACCTGCAGTTTTGCTCTGAAAGAAAAAGTAAATTCAAATTCTAATATAAGGTTATTTAGTCACAGAAGATCCCATGAGTAACTCTGCATTGGCACTTCCATCATCACTTTACTAAAATCTGTATATCACAGATAATAGATTACAAGCCTTTCACTTCTTAGCCAAGTGCATTTTTGAACCATCAGACCATTTCATTTATTTCCATAACTATTTCTCAAGCACTGTGTTTGGACACAGCTCTGTTAAACATTATTTTTCATGCCTGAAAATTTCTGGACTACTGCTCCATTGAAGATTTGTGGTTAAAAAAAAAAAGGGTTTTACTTCTAAAAGTTCACTATTGCAAGATCAAACCAGACAGTTGACTCTAACTATGTCTTTCAAAGGTAATCATCACTGAAGCAAATTTTAGGGCATCACAAGGCTAACCATCAATTAACCAAATGAATCAGTTAATCATACCACTGCTTTCCGCAATCAAATTAAGTGTTAAGAAGTTGCTAATGTGAAGAGGTAGTGCTATCAGAGAGTATGAGATCTGACAATGATATTAGAATTATAGGTTAAATTACACATAAATTATAGATAAATGCATAATAATCTGACTATGTTTTGCTTTTTGACATTTAACTTTGTTTCTTAATCTCATAAGAGGGTGAATATTCTGTTTTATCTCAAGATTTTTTTTGTTGATTATAAAACCTATAATTCCACTAATGTTTTGGTCTGTAATATATTTCCTAGAATTGTCAGTCGATTCAAAACTCAAACTTGAAAATTTTCTAACAGTAAATAAGAACAAAATGAACTGGTAGTCATTGTAAAAATAATATATTTTTTTAAATTTTGAATATTTGGATTTGGGGATTAAATACTGGCACCTTGTCACTTATTTTTCTACTAATGATCATCTCTGCTTCAGCTCTTTAAAATGGCCTGCTGGGTTTCAGTTTAGCATGCAAGCCCTTAAGCTGTCTTTTGTCATTTCATAAGGGCCAAAGAGCTTGTTAGCTTGGAATTTAGTGTATTTTGGTACTCATTTGTTTTTAGTTATTCTTTTCTTGATTTTTTGGAACTCTTTTCATGAGGAAATGCCACGATTCTTACCAATTAGTCATAAACCAGTTTAGATTTAGGAATTACATAATTTACTTTGAAACACTCCTTTATTCAAATTGCAAATGATAAAGATGTGAATACTTCCCTGAACTTTGGATGATGTGGGATAATTAGAGTCTCAGAGAAAAACTAAAACTTCTGAAATTTGTGGCCAAATCAAATGTGGTCAGTGAAAATAGATAGCATACTTATTAATGAAAATTAAGCATTAACGTTTTAGGATTTAGTCCCTGGTTTTAGTGGTATATATGCTTTTTTGTTTTTACTGTGTTCATTAACACAAAGAACAAGTAACCTTACTAGTGGTTTGAGATTTGACTCACAGGAAAACATTGGGTAGTAATTAAGAACAAGGCTTTTGTTTTTTAGTTTGTGAAATGTTAACTACACAGTCTAATGTGGTTGCAACTTGCCACATGTGGCTATTAAGCACTTGAAATGTGACTAGTTGAATTCAAATGTGCTGTGTTAAATATATACTGGGATGGAAGAAACGATTGTAAAGTACCTCAGTAATAGTTTATATTGATTACATGTTGCCATAATATTTTGTATTTTGGAAAAAATAGTGTTAAAATTTCTGACTACCAGAAAAATTTAAATTACATACGTGGCTCACCTTATAGTTTTACTGGAGAATGCCAGTCTACTAATTTAAAACAATCCTTATTGTGTATAGTACATATTAGCTATAAACAGCATATTTGATTCAGCTTCTCACGTCTTAAACTGTCAATCCATATACCATCAATCCTTTTGGAAGTCTGGGAAGCCCAATTATTCTTTTTTTCCTTCCTTTTGTGTCTTTCTCTGTGTATTTTATTTACTTTTTATTATTTTTTAATATTTTATATAATTCTTACATCAATTTTCATTTTTGCACAGTGTGTGCATTTTCATTTTGGTTATAGTCACTATACAATTCCCACCCCTCTTATTTTGGCCCCAATCCCTCTTTTCTCTGCACCCCCCCCCCCATAGTGTGTCTCTGGTTTATCGTTATTTGCTGATTTTAATTTTTTCTTTGGAATGGTCCGCTGTGATTCAGTGGACGAGAGCGATGGATAGTTAAGGGACTAAGTGCCACTCCTGTCGCGAAAACGCATGAACGCTGCCTGCTCTTTCTTTTCTATCTCTTCCCTGATGGCTTTTCCCTGGCTGTTAGCAATTGATTATTTAATATTTATAGAAATGCAAATTTAAAATAACACAAGTCCCAATTCATATATTAGCATATACCATCAGTTCTGGTATGTCATAATCTACCATGTCTTATTTACGGTTCTTAGTTTAATATTCTGTCACACACTACTTTATTACATATCACTACTAGTAATAATAGTCATAGCCAAAAATGAGTTTTTGATATTGTGCTTTTATAGGAAACCAGCTGAAGTAGAACCATGCATGTTGTAGGAGATGAGACGTAAGCATTTATTATCAGCTTCTCTTTTCCAGTGAGATTTATTTCCTTTGTGAAGGTAATCATATAAAATCTGTGGGTACTTTATCAGTTTATTTTTAATTAAAGAAGGTAAAATAACAAGGTTTTGGAACCCTGGTATTAGTAGATTAATGTCATAGGAGGTTAGGGGGAGAAAGGCAGTTGCATGGATGTTGATAATAAAATATGTAAAGGTCACTGTGTGAAGATAAAATGTCATACTTAGATTAGTCAGTCATCTCTTGTTTCTGAAAAAATAATAAGTTAATCTTGTTTCAAAAAATCCCAAAGACGGATAGTTTTCTTCTTAATGCCTTTCATCTTGGGCAATCTTTTGTACGTCGTGCAAAGGACCATACAATTAGCATGAAATGAGAGAGCGCTTTTTAAATTTGATGAATAAGGGCTCTTTTCTCCAGCTGATATGCATGCAAGGTAGGAGGTCTGTATCTCTCCAGCAGACAGACTATTGGTATCTACCCTATAAGTAGCTCCCAGCTCATATCTGGGGCTTAATGAGCAAAGAAGTTGGAAGTAATAAAAGTGAACTTAAAATGCATAAAAATAGCCACAACACTTTAGTGTAAAAGCTACACGATGCCCACGTTTGAACAATTGGATTTCCACCTGCCCTTGATTTCAGACGTGCCCCTGCTACCCTCTTTTGAGGACATATTACTAAGATCTACATGAACAACTTTTTTGGGGTTGTCTTGTATTAATTTTTTTCTGAAATGTTGACAGAAAACATACTTTTGTGATCTCTCTTGAGCAGACTTTTTATGCCTGTATTCTGGTGGTCTCTTTACTTTTTGGAAATACTTGTTTTTGAGGTATTAGTACCTCGTAGAATAATGTTCATTGACATGTTATTTAAAATGTGTTAATATGCTGTTTTATTAACTAGGAGAGTGGACCCCCCCCTCTCCTTACGACTTTATTTATACAAGGAACAGTTTTTAAAAGATGAGATTCCCCAAGTTGTTGGGAAAATTTTTATTACTTTCTAGTTTCTTATGCTCACATTTTTATGTTTTTGTGTTTCATAATTCCCCCATTTGTAGCTAATAACATTTCCTATTGCATAAAACATTTCCTATTCCTATTGCAAAAAAGAAGCGAAAGTGCCATAAATAAGATAACTGGGCCATTAATTAATTTTTCCCCATAAGGAGCTACCATAATTAGAACCACCAGATTTAGCAAATAAAATACTGGATGCTAAGTTTGACCTACACAACATTTGGATTATACTTAGACTAAAAGAATCTATATTTGATCTCTGACAACCATAACCATAACTCAGTTCTCTTATTAACTACCAACAAATTCCTGAGTCTTGTAAATTCTATGCTTGGCCCTCCTGCCCAATGCTGTTTGCTGATCATCCAAGCTCATCCCAGTACTTAGAGATGATGCTATAATACAATGAAGCCCAAAATACATCAAGCATGTTTTTTCATTTATCCACATATTTTGTGGGGAGAAGGGATACATTCTATACTCATGTTGCCTTTCTCAATTTAAGAAAAAAATGTTCTCTTATTAAGCGATAGTATTGATTCTGAAATCTAAGAGTGCTCCTCCAACAGAATTCAGATTCTCCTTCTTACCTGCTTCTATTTTTGGCTTATTTAGTATAAAATCTCTAGTAGTATAATTACATCTAAAACAAAAGTGAATTCAGAGAACGTGCATGGAGGGCAGGTATGTGAAAAGACCCTTCTACAACGAATGGTGCTGTGTAGATGGAAGATTTTGACTTCCTCCTCCTCCACACAACAGAACCAGGGGAGAGCCACTCAACATGCATGTCCTTCTCATCTGTACAATTATCAAGGTCCCTAGGTGATGCTCTTTCCTGCAGCTATGCTCCCTTCCAAATTGATAGCCAGAGGTGGTTTTTCTAAAACATGCATCTTAATCACTGAAGGTGAGTGAGTAGTTTATCACATACAGTCCATGCTAACTAGCATGGCATTCAATGCCCTTTTTTTTTTTTTTTAGATTTATTTATTTTTATTTATTTGTTTGTTTGTTTATTTATTTATTTAAGCAAGCACTGGGTACAGTCAGAGGCTCAGGAGGGTGAGAGAATTCACCAGAGCCAGAGAGGGGAGCAGAGCAGGTAGAAGGACTGAAGCACAGTGCTGAGGGGAGCAGCAGGCAGCAGGAGAGGTCTGCGCGCCATGCGGGACCCTCCTCCAGTGGCCAGGGAGCAGCCGGGGATCGAACTGGCGCTGCAGAGGCTGCGGGCAGCTTCGCAACCCAGCGCTCAACCGCTGTGCCACCGGGGAGGCCCCTCAATGCCCTTTCTGATCTGGTATCTACTTAACGCCCCTTCTACCTCTGCTGCAGCAATAACCATAATGCCATAGCAATAACAAATACAGGTAGTGCCTCAATCATACCATGCTCCTCACGTCCCCAGCTATTTGGGCATTTTCCTTCTGATTGACATGCAGATTTCCATTCATCTCCCTAGCAGAATCCTCTTCATCCTTGAAAATCCAGTACATTGCTCTTTGAGACATCCCTTGGCCACCACCCTTCCTAATCCTAAGAGTGACTTCTGTTATCCTGCTTTAGCTTCTGTAAGATCTTGTGGTATCACATCCACCGCAGTTGATTTTAGTGGTTTATTCATATGTCTGTCTCTTACAGAAGGTTGCAAGGTTTTTGAGACAAGATGTTATCATCCTCTTAATTTCCAAATCTTTAGATTTTAGCACAGGAGCCTAGAAAATAACAGAGAAGTGTTTGAATGCCAGAAAGGATTAGCTGTCCACTAGGTAAATCCACGCTTGTTGAACTGGTCCTTTGTGTTAGCTGCCCACTCTGAGAGTTTTGCCTTGTCTTTCACATCAAGTGGTGAATAGAAATTAACTCTTAATTTTCGCCTGAATAGCTAATCTACCAGTGCTGTTTATTAGTTAACTCTATAATTTTTTTATAGAGTGAAAAATACCCTCCCATATGGAAGGGTGGTCTTGGGCAGCCTTACTTGATAAATAAATGTGAGTTTTCCTTTGACACCCTTTCCTTCAGGTGTATAATACCTCCCTCACCCCACCCCAGCTTTCTTCTTTACCTCCTACCCCTAAGGCTACCTGTCAGTCCTTTTTTGGCTTTTGGGAACAGAGTGGAGAGGGAGGAAGAGATTGTTACTGTGGTAGCTTGTCCCCTTTCTTGACTAGTCTTCCTACAGGAAAACTTACTTGTCTTATTTTGCACTTCCTTGGGGCCTAGGCCATCATGGAAGTTAAGTAATAAATTCACAATGAGATACTCAATTATATTGATCGCTTAACATGTAATTCTTCGACAATACTTGCATTTTAACAGATGCTTTCAATCCCTATCTCTATAGGACAAATAATACTGGCATGATACGTTTTATAGTATCAAAGAAAAAGGTGTTTTTGACTAAGCTGGGTAACTTTTAATCACCCTTCAAATAGTATTACCTGTAGTAGTGCCTGTAATGTGTATATACATGAATGACTTAGCAATTGCCAATAATGGATAATATTAAACTGATGGCTTAAACAATGCAGGTGTTTATTTTCATCGAAAAATTTCTGAGGCAGTTGAGCACCCATATAATGGCTCCATGCTACCATCAATGCCCTGTATATCTTGTCTTTCTGCTCTACCACCTTTTCTGTGTGGCTTCCATATATGCCAGCTTGCCTCTTGGTTGCAAAATGGCGACTGGATTGAGGCAAAAGGGAGACTCTCATTACTTGTTCCAAAGCCCCATCCAACATCTTGTGCTTATTTCTCATTGGCTACCTGTACCAATAAAGATGACTGGGAAATAATGTTGGTCAGGCATATTGCCAGGGTAGTTATCTAATGCAAAAGGAGAAGGGGAGATGCCCACTGATAAGCAACTAATAATCTTACAGCAATTCAAATTAGGGCAAAAATCTGTTATCTTTTGCCTTTTGAGAATCATTCAAATAAAAAAAACGAGGACTAAAAAAATTAGTTAATAGTTTAATAAAATTTCCTTTAGGATGCCATTATTTTAATGAAATATTAGGAACTGTACAACTATTCAAAAATGTTTTATGTGTGCCTACTGTTTGCATAGTGCTATGGTCAGAGTCAAGGTGAAGTTTTTGCCCTCAATTATTTTTATATTCCCCATACAATTATAACCCCCTTATTTTGACCCCAATCCCTCCTTTCCCTGCCCCCCACCCCCCATAGAGTGTCTCTGGCTCATAGTTGTTGATTTTGATATTTTCTTTCTTATAGTTATTCTTTTTCCTGGTCCCTTATTTAAGTTTTCTAGATTCCTGCTATGAGTGAGACCATCCAGTATTTTTCTTTTTCTTTCTGGCATATTTCGCTGAGCATGATCCCTTCCAGCTCCATCCATGTTGCTGCAAATTGCATGTGTTATCTTTTTTGATTGCTGAGTAATATTCCATGGTGTATATGTACCACATCTTCTTGATCCAGTCATCTATTTTTTGCCCTCAATTGTTTTATCACTAATAATCCAGGTCACAGACACATTAAATTTAAATAATGGTATATTATGTCACATGATTATGTGCTAATCATAGTAAAAACTAAATCATATAATACAGCTTAAGTCTACAGAAGTTCAGAATTTAGAGTATGATCACTATGGCTACAGACACCAAGGAGTGACTTCTGTACAAAGTAAATGAGTAGATTTGACAAAAAACAAGAATGGGAAAGGTAGTCCCTCACCTTTGATTTATACTACCTATTTTAGGATATTTATATTTAATACATCATTATGTTTAAAAATAGTAGTAGTATTATGAATACTTTTTAGTTTTTTCCAACAAGTGACCCAAGTTTTAACTTAATGCTACATTTAAAGAAAAAAATTTATGCTAATACTATAGCTGTAAGGCCACTTTTTAATTGCCACCTACAAGGTAACTTAAAAAAGGATATGAAATATGTTAAATACAAGATGAAGTAGTAGTAGTAATAATCCTAAATCAAAGAGCAATTCTTTAGAGGGAAAAATGGAACATTCTGTGATTTGTAAGTAGTTAATGAGTATTTGGCTCCATGATATGTTAAGACAAAGGTGATGTTCTACATCCAAGATGATTCTGGCCCTACTGTTAATGTTAGCCAGTAGCAAAAATTCTAATACACATGTATATAAAGTTGGAAAGGTATAGTTGACACCTTCTTTCAAAGGTGGTTTGTAGAATCAGTTTTTAACCAAAATGGTATAGATGGCCTTTTTGGTTCATGTATGTTTCAAAAAGCCAGTATCGGGCCATTTTTAGACTTGTGCTCTTCATTTGAATGTGTCGGGGTATTGGACAGTGTCCAAAAAGTGGTAGAACAAAAGGGTTCCTTTGCCAGTCACCACTGCCATCTTGTTTGGAGAAATACTTAGGAAAACATTTCCCCATGTTTTGTTTTCACTGAATTCTTCATTTGAATTTACAACCCAGTGTTATGGGAAGCAGAGGGTTTTTTGGATAGTTGCTGGTTGGTAAAATGATTGGAGGTGGCTATATGACTGCTTCCCAGAGCTCTGCTATTCTGGAACTGGCAGTCAGTAATAATTAAAGCTATTATTCATTGCTCTTTTTCTGTGCTTAGACACTCTGCTGAGTGTATTTTATGTGCATATATCACTTTAGCTGAGAAAACCTTCACTCAAGAAAAGTGAATTGACTTGCCCAGATCACTTAGCTAATATGTGGCACAAACTTGAATTCAGGTGAATTGGACTCAACCCAAACACTTAACTGCAAAATCACTGAATCAGAATTGGGGGTGTGCCGCAGGCTTTCCAGAGGCCCTTGCTCTGCCTTCATTGCAGCCAGGCCAGTCCTCAGAGACAACATTCGTGCCGATCTCTATGTTTACACCTCTGCAAGTGCCACCACTTGCAGACCTCGTTTGCCCTCCAGACTTCTTTCTTGCTCACGAAGACCTCCTGAATCCAAGCCTCCCACTGCTCCTGTTCCTCAGCACTTGCATAACCAGTGGTACAGACCGCCATTCCTCAGGTATTCCTATCCTGGAGATTAGAAAATATTATGATGAGCAGTTGATTAGCCCAGATCATCTAAGCGCTCTAAATAGCAAATCTAAAAATATGACCTCTGTTTTGTATGCAATTAAGAGGTCATTGGCAATAATGTTATTTTCATACTAGGGTAGATAAAAGCTTTTCTTCAAAACAAAAAGATGATTCAATATTAGTAGGGGCACAATTCTAATTATATCACATTGATATTATTCATGTCACTTTCTAAGGAAATACTGTGTTGCAGTATCTCCCAAACATGCCCATGTTCTTTGTGTGGCAATTTTTAGCATTAGCACTAATGAGCACTTAATCTTGGACATAGCAGCTAACGAGTTTTCATAACTAACTTGGTAATAAGGGTAACATTTAGGAAATGGGTTTTTTAAAATATCATTTAGTGAACATCAGCAACATTCAACACCATCTCCAGTCAACAGGTAACCTAACAGTAATAATTGCCTGCAGGTTTGGGGACTAAGTGATTTCTTCTTGATTTTAAATTGATTTATCCAGCCAGTAAATTTTAAACATTTTGGATCACAGTTTTCCATTATCCCTGGCAATGTGAGAGGGGGATAGAAAGATCCTCCTGAGTGGAAGTCATTTGACGCTCTGAAAAAAAATTGAAGCAAATTTTCCTTTTCATAAATGGAAATAAACAGAAAGAAAAATGCTGAAAACTGAGCTAGAAATAGAACCACAATACAGCTTAGGCCTCCTCATGTCTCATGCAACTCATCCTTTTCTTCGCATTTAATTATTCACTAGCTCCTGTCAGAGTGTCTCTTGTTTGTCCTCTCCTTTACCTCTCCCATGCCAGCACCCAGCGATCAGACCCTACTTATCCCTCTTCTGATTTATTACAGAGCCTTGTGACTGCTCATTCTTCCTCCTGACTTTTGCCTTTTTGGTCTATTCTTTACATGGTGGCAGAGTTTTCTACTTTAAAAAAGAAAGAAAATGTGATATTACACCTGTCTCCCCTCCCTCCCTCAAAAACCTATAGTGTTACCTGTTACTTAACAGGAATATACAAAGCTGAGCCTGGCATCTGCAGCTCTTGCCAGGCTTCCCAAGGCCTGCATTCTACCTCCCTCTCTATGATAGGATCTTTTCTCACTTCCCCACCACATCTGCTGCTTGCCTAGCTTGGTCCCTGGCTCTTAGCAATGGGGTATGGACGCCCTTTTGAAGCAACAGCTGTGGGGCTCAGCCCCATCCCTCAAGCCCAGGCCAGAAGTGTTCCCAGGACCTTCCAGGCTTAGCCTTTGGAAGTCACTTCTCCCTTCAGGCCCTCCTACACTGTCTTGTTCCTTCTGTTGGGCATTTTTTAGAATTGATAATGATGTATTCTAGTGTCTCTTTTCTTCCTTCATGTGTTTTTCTTTTCTTCTGAGTGTCCCATAGCTTGAGCAGACTTTGTAGTGTAGAAACACAGACATACCGATTCTTACCTTCAACATGTTATTTTTTTTTCTATTTTTCTTATCCCTGACCTTCTATTTCAATGTTTTCATTAGTTTTCTATTGGATATTGCCTCAAAACCTTTGTAGGAAGAGGGGTAGTAGACTTGAGTATAAATAAACACGTGGACCAGAGGGCCATGAAAACAGGAACTATGTGTTGTTCACCTCTGCGTCTTCCCACAGTGTGTCTTCAAATATACTTCAGATACAGATAAGTGAATTAAACTGGATATATTTATAGCTTTACATCTTTGCAAGTAGTTGCATGGAGAACTAATCAATTTTGATGAAGCTACAATTTTTTTTCATTATAAAATTAGTCCTTAAAAATGTATTTGTTGTTAAAAACCAACCCTGTATCACTCTCATTGTTAAAGAATATAAGTTATATCAAATACTAGTGATCTATTTATGCAATTATAAGGAAAATTGTTTGCATTGAGATAGATATTCCAGGTGAGTGTAAATTGGATGCTTCTAATAATTTGATGTAAATTTACAAGTTAGAATTAAGATAATGTGAATTTATACTCTGTTCTAGTTCCTCACCCCATGTCGTCATATCCAGCACGTCATCATCACACAATTGCTATGTTCAAAATATTCTAAGCTCCATCTCTGGGAAAAATATATTCATGGGGGGATACTTTGTATATGATCATCAAATCAAATATTTGATGATCCTTCTTGATACTCTTTCTCTATGTTCCCTTGAATAAAGGAAGTTAAAGTGGGATCTAAATCACAAGCCAGTTTTACTATTCTGAAATTTGATGACTTAGTTTCACAATGTTTATAGGCTCATTTTTGCTGAGTGTGTGAAGCCAGCTCCTTGTTTCACCTCCCCAGTGACTGAGTCAGTGTTGAGAGCGCAGGGCTAGGAACTAACATTCCCTTTGTGGCTTTTTGACAATTACCTAACTTTCCTGTATTTTTCTCTGTATTGACACCACTGGGATAATCACCTTTCATACCTCGTAGGAGTATTGTGAGATTAATTAATGTTTGTAAAGTGTTTTCAGGATTACGATGAAAGGTATTAATTTGTAAGCATGTGGTATTATTATAATTATTAGTAGTAATAGGGGTGGTTGTTTAATGCAAATTTTTGTCTAAGTGTAGTGTCATATTTTCAAAGGACAATCTCTCTCTTTGTGGCCAGATGTGGATACAATTAACCCTTTACCCTTCATTTTGAAGATACAATTAGCCAATTGTGTGTGCAATTAGACGTGTGTGCAGTTTTTGCCAGAACAACTAATTACAGCCTTGGTAAAAGTTCTTTTGAAAATGCTGGCCCTTTGAATCTTGACTGTCCCTATCTGTGTAATAAACAATTTGTGCTGAGCATATTTGGAGGCCATGGAGGCTCCTGAATGCTTTTGCGGTTACTGGAGAAAGATTTTACTTTCTTGAAACCATAGCTTTGTATTTTGCCATCAAGCCTAAAAAGCCTTTCACATAGTTCTGGTTTCAAAGGTTTTATTGATTTTTTTCTTATAATCTTGACATTCAGCTGAAAGATTTTCCAGAGACTGCATTTTGTGAAACAGGTTTTTCTCTTGTAATTTTTTTTTCTCCCTTGAAAACTCCATTTCCTTTCTATCTTTATCCAAACACACCATCTCATATTCTCCTTACTCACTAAACAGTGAGTGAAGCAGATTAGTTCTGATCCTCTCTTCCCAGCCAGGGCCTTGTGACACCATTTTATAGGGGACATTTAATCACTATAATGTAAATTCTATTTATACTGAAGAGTACAAAGAATACTGATCAGACCAGGAAGATACTGTTATATCCATTTATCTCCACTGATATCCTGTTATTAAAAGGGGAATGTGCAGAGCTTTTAATGGTAAGTTTCAAAACAGCCTCTTAAAATGTCTGCTCTTTCACACCTCTCATTGATAATTCTTTAGCTTGACTCCATGTAAAGAACCATGCTACCACCCAAGGTGAGCAAAGTGCTGAAGAGAAAAAAGATGCTCAGGGTGTGGAAGGGACCTTCAGTGGAGATGGGGACCATACTGATAAGGTGCACTGAAGATAAGACCTGCACCTAGGCCAACTTTTGATAGACAAAGGGCAAGTCGAATAGATCAAAGGGAATATTTAGTCTGAGCAAAGATGACAACCTGCTAAAACACAGGCAGGTTTAGGAAAAGAACCTCTAGATTGGTTTTGCTGGAATTGTAGTAAAGAAATGGTAGAAGATCAGAAAGCCAAATTGGGCCCCACGTGGAAGGCCCTGAAAGTTAGTGGAAACATTTATAATTAATTCAGCTGTCAACATAAAGCCACTCTATGATTTTGAGAACATTATGGTTGGAGCTGTGCTGTGCAATTAAGCTGGCCCCAGTGTGCCAGATCAACTGCAGTGAGGACAGGCCAGAGGAGATATAGTCAATGTTGCCAAAATTAAGAGCAGTCATTTCTGGACTGTTAGTCTTGAGAGTGAAAAAGAATTATTATATCTACAAGGCATAATGTAGAGTTAATATTTCTTCATGATGGCAACGGTCCTGAGATAGAGGTGGACAGGAAGGAATGGGTCAATATGACTGGGAAGAACGATGGAAGTAGCCGTCATTCAAACAGGGATAGGGAGGATTGTAGGGGAACAAAAAAGAAAGAGGGATGTCAGGAGGGAGAATAGATTTAAGAGAAGTAACTCTTAGGAATTCTCACTATGGCACATTTATACCAGTAGACCAAGACAGCAGGATAGGAGATTAATTCTAGATAGCCAATGTAACATTTCCAATAAGGATCATGGAAAAGAATTACATTTTATCTCAATAACAATAAGATCCACTTGTGTTGCAGGGACAGCCTATTAACATGGCAAGTCAAAGAATATAAACAAAATTTGAAGTAATTAAAGAAATACATTTCTTGGTGCCTAGTATACTTTATACTACACAAAAAGTAATTGGAAATCTCTACATATATGCTAAAAGTACCAAATCATAGTTTTGTGTATGTTTTAAAAATATCTCTATAGTCACTGAAAAGCAGCTAGAACATTGGTGGTTACTTTTTCAAATTTCTATTTGAAACACTTGAAGACAGAGCAAAACAGTATTCTCATTTCTAATGTAAGGAAAGTCTGTCATGCATCTCCTTTTGTCAAATATTGGCTTCTGAGGAAGTTCTATGGGTAATTTATCATGTCATCAGCCTCAACAATGTGGCCATTTACCCAAAATTCCTAACATCCCTAGATAACCTGATGTCATTCTGTCATCCATATTTCACATACCTTTCCAGCCTTTTTACGGCTTCACCATGTCATCGCATGGTAAATCTCATAATTCAGGAAAATACTGTCAATTACTAAAAGTAAATGTCTTCTCAGCCTTCATTTGTGAAATGAAAAATCTATAATCTATGTGGACTATACTATATGCATGTAATTTTGGTTGCCATTTGCCACCAGTAATGAGGCATTGTGGAAAGACTAATAGCCTTGGGACAATGTAGTTACCATTTCTGTAAAATGCAAATAACGAAACTTT